TTCTACCTTCCCTGCCAAGAACCCCTCTGGGCCTAGCTCTCTGCAGGATCCCCAGGACCCTTTGGAGACAGTCTTGGGTGACTGGGGGGCAAGGGGGGGGGTTCTGGGTTCTCTTTCAGAGCCAAGGGCAAGATCCTGCACTGATTGATCAGTGAAAGGGTGTTTCTTTCTTGGCTAAGAAGACAGTGGGAGATGAACCTGTCATCAGCCCTCACCCTGGGAAGGAGGGCAGGATGTAGCCAAAGGGGAGGGAAAGCCATTAAGGGGAGGAATATCTGCATTTTATTTTAATGAGGTTGGAGGTCACCTGGGGTCACTGGCCAGGCACAGATAGGACTGGCTTCAGTCTGCACACCTGAAGAGGGGCTCTTGGCCCAGGCAGCCTACCTCAAAGACAAGCCAGGTGCAGGTGGGGTAAAAATGCCACTGGGCCATCCAGGCAGCTTCTGTGTTTCCCAGACTGCAATCCCAATTTGCCCCCAGGGAATGCAATTTCCATTCTTTTAGACTTTGCTGATTTTATTCTTGGTTGACATCACCAAGGTTCTGTGTGTATAAGTGGTGCCTGCGCCTTCTCCCCGGCAGTTCAGGTGACTTTTTTCTCTCTCTCTTTTTGGTTCTGAGGATTTCACCCAGGGGCACTCACCCACTGAGCCCATCCCCAGCCCTAGTTTGTGTTTTATTTAGAGATGGGGTCTCACTGAGTTGCTTAGTGCCTGGCTTTTGCTGAGGCTGCCTTTGAACTCCCAAATCCTCCTGCCTTAGCCTCCAGAGCTGCTGGAATTACAGGCCTGAGCCACTGGGCAGGGCAGCCCAGGTCAAGTCTATTCCACACCCTCCCCCAGCACTTTTTTGTTGGCGCTGGGGATGGAGCCCAGGGCCCTAAACCTGCCAGGAAAGGGCTCTACCACTGAGCCACACCAGAACCCCCATTCATCTCTGGATGAACACAGGGGTTCCCTACCCTTTGGTCTTATGCGTAATGCTGCTATGAACCCAGTGTGGTGGCGCACACCTGAAATCCCAGAGGTTTGGGAGGCTGGAGCAGGAGGATCGCAGGTTTGAAACCAGCCTCAGCAACTTAGTGAGGTCCTAAGCAACTCCATGATATGATTGCCTTTGAGATAAGTGGGAAAAATAGGTAGATGGGAAGGACAAGGAAATGTCATTTTAATCTGAGGTGCTGCCTGCCTTAGACCTGTCACTGGCCAATTTCTGGGAACTCTGTAAACCTTTGAGTTACTGTAAAATCACCCACTTATGAAAATTACCCTGAGTGCTGTCCTCAAGTCCACCAATAAATATATCCAGTAAAGAGACATAAGCCATTTTTAGTGATCTATAATTTAAGGGACTTCCCAGGATCTCTGCTGGGTTAGACAGTGGAGACCATATCAGCCAAAGGATCCTGAGGAACCAGACCTTTTTCTTTTGAGACAGGATCTTGCTAAATTGCAGAGGTGGCCTCGAACTTGTGATCCTCTTGCCTCCCAAGCTGCTGGAATTACAGGCGTGTGCCACTGTACCTGGCTGGCGTTCTCTCTCTCCTGAGATGGCCCACATTGTCCCCTGAACGTGTGTTCCTTACTTTCCTAAGTAGATGTCTGCCTCTGCTGAGGAGGACCCCACTCACTCCCTGTTGTTGAAAAACCAGCCTCTACCTCAGAGCAAAGCCTGACCAAGGAAGGAGCATGACCTTGTCCTTGGAAAGACCCACAGAGCACTCCTAGGCACATACCCACCCTGCTGAGTTGTTTATCTACAAAGAACAGGAGATCTGCTGTGCCAGGTGTCCCTGACTCAGTCAGGCTAGGTGGGGACCCACAGCCACCCCCTAGCAGCCACCAATCATCATGAGACAGGGAAATACCTGGGATGCCAGATGACCCTCCCAGTAGTTTATGGTGGTTGATACCATGTTGGGAAACCACGTAGTTCAGCACTACTCACCTTGTGGTTTAAACCAATCAGTTCAAGTCACCAGTTGCTGTGTGCATGGAGGACCGAGCCAGCTCCCAATAAACACCTCTTTGCTGCTTACCACGATCTTGGTCTCTGGTGGTCTTTTGGGGGTCCTGAATTCCACTTAACAGTGGCGTCTACTGTTTGCAAGTGTGAAACCGTGAGCTGCTGGGAGGAGAAAGTCTGGGTCCTTCCTTCCTGGCTCTGTGTTGCTGCTGCTGG